TCTCTCCACGCTTCCCTTCCTTCGTGATCCTACTTTCCTTCTCCCCTTCTCTTCTCTCCCCTCTCCCTCTCCCGCTCCCTCTCCCTCTCCTTCTTTCCTTCACTTCTCTTCCTTCTCCCCCTTTCCTCTCCTCTCCCCTCCTCTCCTTCTTCTTCCCTCTCACTGCTCCTGCTCCTCCATTTCCCCTCTCCCTTCCTTCTTGTCCTCCCTGCTTCCTCTGCCTTTTCAGTCCACCTCTTCCTCTCCTCTCGCGTCTCTCTCTCTCCTTCGGCTTCTTCCATTCCATCTTCTTCTCCATATCCTTCCCTCTCCTCTCCTTCTTCTCTCCTCTCCCTCTTCCTCTCCCTCTCCTTTCCTTCTTCTTTTCCCTCTTACGCTCTTCCCCGCTCCTTCCCCTTTTCTTCTCTCTCTCCCCTTCCTCCCCTCCTCCCATCCCTCCCCCTCGTTTCCCCCTTTCCTGCTTCTCTTCCTGTTTCCTCCTCTTCTCTTTCTCTTCTCTTCTCCTTTTCTCTTCTTTTCCCCTTCTCTTCCCCTTCTCTTCCTCTCTCCTCTCCTCTGTTTCCCTCCCTCCTTCCCCTTCTCTTCCTCTTCTCTTCCTCTTCCCTTCCTCTTCTCTTTCTCTTCTTCTTTTCTCTTCTCCTTTTCTCTTCTTTTCCCCTTCTTTTCCCCTTCTCTTCCTCTCTCCTCTCCTCTGTTTCCCTCCCTCCTTCCCTTCCTTCCCTCCCTCCCTCCTTCCTTTTTCTTTTTCTTTTTTTTCTTTTTTTGGTAGAGTCTTGCTCTGTTGCCCAGGCTGCAGTGCAGTGGTGCAATCTCAGCTCACTGCAACCCCCACCTCCCGAGTTCAAGCAATTTTCCTGCCTCAGCTTCCCCAGTTACTGGTACTACAGTTGCATACCACCATGCCCAGCTAATTGTTGTATTTTTAGTAGAGACGGGGTTTTGTCATACTGGCCAGGCTGATCTCAAACTCCTGACCTCAGGTGATCCGCCTGCCTCAGCCTCCCAAAGTGCTGAGATTACAGGCATGAGCCACTGTGCCCGGCCTGATTCTCTATGATTCTACCTTTAAAAGACAGCACATGTACCAAGCCTTTTTCAGAAAGCTTTTCTCTTAACTCTTTCTAATACTGAATTTTCTCTCTATTATCCTTACCCACTTCTGGCTGACAATTAGTGAACACAATTTAACTTCTTAAAAAAATACCGGTGTCTATGCTTATATTGCTCGCTTAAATCATTTGAATTACAAAGGCATCTACAAATAATAAAAGTAAAGAGTGTAGACAGATTAGGGATCGTAATTCTTCAAGTGCCATCCATCCCAGATTTCCATCCCAGCATGTGTGTAATTGTGCAGTGGGAGGTAAGTAGTACCCAGGACATTGCATGTACAATACTTTGAAACAAAGTGGCAACAGAGATTTCCTGACTCAGGTATGTAACCCAACTGCTGGTTTAGATGAAGTGCTGAGAATATTTAGAAAAAGCACTTTAAAAAGCATCCAGAGATTATCATGAAAATAATTGGAGGCAAAGTCACTAGGCTGGCTTGTGAGAGGCAGCACACCATGGCTGTAAACCCGTTCACAAAAAACTATGTTAGAGACATTAGGAATTCAGGTTTTGAAAATCTTTTTTTCTATTTATTTGTTATTTACATACCAAAAAACCACATTAAAATAGTCCTCCCTTCAACATGGCTATCTTTTTTCAAGTTTTATATGCATACCTCTCTCAGCACTTAAATGGAATAACTGTTGCAGCATTTGGGGGTTGTTTTTCTTTTAGACATTTGCAGATCTTATCTCCGGGTGACTGGGGGCCCAGAGTTAAGTATTTGTTAGGCAATCTCTGCGAACTTTGACCTTACCTAGTTGGCTTATATGAAATATGTAGAATGCGCTGCAGTAGCCATTGTAAGAAAGTACTGTACTGGTTTTTTGGGGCTTGTTGTTGTTGTTTGGTCTGAGAATGTACTGCCAACCCATCTTTTATAAGAGAGAACTGATTTTGATACATATTTTAAAATGTGATAGTATAGAGTTAATGGATGTTAAAATTTTATTTCTTTGTTTTGGTAAGTAGATTAAATTGAGAATCATATGGTCAGTACATTTGAGAATTATATGACCAGTATATAATAATACTGGACATAACCATTTGCCATCTTTTCCTGTTATCATCACATAGAGTGGTGGGAAGAATGAATAGAAATCACTCTAAAATAATGATAAATGGTTTTTAAAACTCTATATTGAATACATTCCAGCTGAAAATGACTCTTCTTTTTCACTTTGGTGATATCAGCCTCAGGGTAAAAAAAAAATGTGTTTATAAAAAACAGTTTCATAAATCTTTTAGTTATAAACAGGAAAGTTTTATATTAGTGTGTCATTTCATTTCTAGACTGTTGATGGTGATGATGATAAAGAATTTGGAGCCAATTTTGATATATGAATGTATTGCTTTTACATGTGATGATTAAAGCTCTCCATTAGCAGTTCTTGGTTGTCTGTGTGTATCGTGTATTTGTTTCTGTGATTTATGTATCTCATCTCCACCTTGTATTATTTAAACCTAAGTTTTCACCTCAATCTTAGTGGATCCAAGGAGTTTGTTGCCTGTAACTCATGTGTACCCCACTTGCAGATGGGGAAAGTCTCTTGTTCTTAGTTTGAATCATCATGAGCAATAGCTAATCAAATGGGAATCATTAGAAATAGCTAATCTATGGGAAAAATTGTTTACTGTGTGCTATTATTAAAAAAAAAAAAATTCCCCAAACAGGCCAAGAGTTGGCATCTGCAGCGTTTTTTATTCTTAGTGTGCTCCGCTGGCCCAGAGGAGCAGCTCTGTAGGGTGTGTCTACTTTCACCCAAGGAGTATCCTTCCTACAGTCCATCTAACCTCCAGCCACTCGCACTGTGTCTGCAATCATTCCTGTTGAAGTGAGTTAAACATTCTGTTGAACCTTTGGCAAGCAAGGATGGCATCAAAGGCTATCCTCATGTTCGAACTGAGAGAAACGAGGGGCAGAATGATGGACTCATTGTGATAAAAATTCAGTTGAGCTTTGATTGTTGATCTAGAAGTGCTGCATCCTTACAAATTCTGTTCTGTAGCCATTCGAGTATTTGTGATTATCTCCCAAATTGCTAGGAATAACATGAGAAACAATCTTACGGTGATCCTACTTGTGTAGCCTCCAGATTTTCCACTCTGCTTAAGGATTATTTGTTTATTTTCAAATATTTTCTTTTGCTTAAAACAAAGAGACAGTCAATTTCTAGATGAAATTATACACTCTGTACTTGTAAAAGAGATAAAAGGTAATGAAAAGTAGCAAGGAAAGGAAAAACAAAACCCTCGTCAAGAATTAGTTTTGGTTAGAAACTTTAACAAAGTGATTTTAGTTATTTTTATCCCTTTGCACTCTGCAGG